GGCCAAAACGATAAAAAATGAAACAAATTACACGATAACTGCGAAGAAAATGGATTTTTTTTTTTTTGAAAACGGAAAAACAAAGTTCTGGAAGGATGTAAAAGTAACTTTAGACTAAACCAACTACAGTTGATGTTTGTTTATTTGTTTTTCAAAATCAAACTGTAATTAAGTTATATCTTTCTCTCTCTCCCATTATCGAAATTTTCCCCCTCCAACCTTAAATAAAACCTTACAGCATTGTTAGGCGTGGGAAAAGTTTTAAAATTGTATACAGACGGTAATAATCGATCTTATCTATTGGTAAAAATGTATATACAACAGCTTATGAAAAAAAAAAAGAACCAAAATAATTTTATTACAAACCTAGAAATTCGGATACATAAAAAAATTTTCTAAATGCTTCTGAACATTCATTAAAAAATCCGCCAAAATTCCGTACAAAAAATGAACGAGAACATGAGTGTTCATCTTTCAAGTTTTTGTTATATCTTTAACATTGCAGGAGCTACCCTAAAACATACGAGTTTATTGTGTTTGCTTTAATATATTTATGTTATATAATCTTCGCATATTTTACATATAACATATTCTTGTGGTATAGAAGTTTCGATATGCGCAACTATTTATTCTCGCACTCCGAAATGACCATAGTTTTATTTTGTGTTTTTTTTTAAATAAAATGGATACTTCGTAGAGTTAAAGAGTCGACATGTCCGTAGAATAAACACTTCATGAAATGTGCAATTTAACAATAAAAACCGAAACGTTTATTAGCAACAAGACCGTGTAGCATGTTTTCACGAGAAGCACGTCTGCAATTAAAAAATAAGTCATGTTTCCGTTTCACTAATTTCACCTATTCTCTTTCATTATAATAATTAGTTGATACTTCAGTAACCTTGCAAGAACGTGTGGGAGTGATCCAGTTACGTGAGGACCTTAGTATCCTCCTGATCTTAAACCATCAAAACTTTTCGTTGGGGCCATACCAAACACTTGGTGTTTGTAATACGCCCAATTAATCTAGAAGATTTGTAGCACAACAACTTGTGAAACCTTATCACCACTACAGAACGTGAGCCACAACGTGAGCGAAAGAGCGTGACTTTTGTATCATTCTGTAGTTTGTGTTATATGAGTGTTATAATATTGTGGATTAATTCTACAATACCATGGAAACAAATCTGAGACCAGCCTTCAAAATAAAAATATAAAAAATGCTTTGTTTTATCGTGTATTCCGCATTAAGAAAGTAAAACAGATGTCAACATACGTTTGTTTATTTGAATGAACAGAATAAACCTAAAATGATTACATAGGATTCTATGAATAGAATAAACCTACAATGTTTACGTAGGATTCTATGAATAGAATAAACCTACAATGTTTACGTAGGATTCTATGAATAGAATAAACCTACAATGTTTACGTAGGATTCTATGAATAGAATAAACCTACAATGTTTACGTAGGATTCTATGAATAGAATAAACCTACAATGTTTACGTAGGATTCTATGAATAGAATAAACCTACAATGTTTACGTAGGATTCTATGAATAGAATAAACCTACAATGTTTACGTAGGATTCTATCTTTTGGAACAATTAGCTGTATCACTCTTAGCAATAAATAACACACTAGGTCACACATTATTCTTAGCAATAAATAACACACTAGGTCACACATTATTCTTAGCAATAAATAACACGCTGGGTCACACATTATTATTTTGTTTTGCAGAATTACTTTAAGTGTTATCTCTTTACTGAAAAGTGTTGAAGAGGTGCTTCGTGGTAAAAATGTAATGAACAAAATGCGACAAAAGAGAATATAAATAATAAGCCAATACTGTCACAAGCGCAGTAGATAAAAGATAAATGTAAAACACCTTATATAATGATGATTCAACAAACAGGTTTTAGAAGAGATTTATCACTTCTCTAATTATTATTCATTCCATTAACATAACATGATCGGGGTTCGTTTCAGTAAGGGAGAAAGGAAACCTTTTGTTGTCACACGCAAGAAATTCAGGCTCGTCTGTGCCCTGCTGGCAGACTTACTCGTGGAAAGGGCCGAGTTGGTGGAAAGAGGGAGGCAAGATATTGGCAGTGTTAGTTGGAGTTGGGAAACTGGTAGGCACACCCGCTGAGTTCATCATGCAAACGGAGAGAAGGGCCGACGTGAGTGGATCGACACGGTCGGTCATGGACCGCGGTGTAGTCTGACGAACTGCTTCAATTCCCGATGTACCAGCTTCACTGCTAGCTGAGAACAGGTGGTTTAAGCCGAAATAACTAGAGAGACCATTGAGAGCTGAGGTGAACAGAGAACTATGCAGTCCATTGCCCCATAGAGGACCCATTCCTGGGGGGCTACGAGAAGGATGAAGTAGTCCCTGGAAATCTCTGCCAGGGGAAAAGAGCATGTTCATTCCAGGACTACACTTAGGAATCTCATATCCGAAATCTTTTTCTTGTTTCCTCCATTTAGCTCGTCTATTTTGAAACCACACCTAAAAAAATTAAATTTCTATATGAAAATTAATGGCCAACATAGGCCCTAGTAATAACACACTTCGTCTTAAAACAAACGCCCTTAGAACAAAGCCCCTAGTAATAATACATTTCGTCTTAGAACAAAGGCCCTAGTAATAACACATTTCGTCTTAAAACAAAAGCCCTAGTGATAATACATTTCGTCTTAAAACAAAGGCCCTAGTGATAACACATTTATTCTTAAAAATTCTATCTATAAGACAACCTAGATTTGAGAATATTCAAGCAATGAAAGAGAATAACATTTCCAAGGAAAAACGTTTCGAATAATAGATAAAGTTTCGTAGAAGTTATTACTTTATTTACACACTTCTTACACTTAAACCGTGGAAACATATATTTAAATATACAAAGCGTTATATATGGAGGATTACGTCATTTGATTGTGGAAAATGATGTTAAGTACAGTTAAAATTAAAAATTTATTACACAACGTACTTTGATATATTGACAAGGTTTTATTTTATGATCACCCAATATTAGCCTTGATAGATATCCAAAATAAATACCATGTGAGTAACACCAGTAAACAGCATAAAACGTAGCTCTTAACCTCTCATGTATACTTAAATGAAACACCTTATTCCGCTAACCGAATAAGTAAATATATTTTGGAGCAGTTTGTTTGCAACTGAGGCATTGAAAATGCTCGCTAAGAAACGTTCATGAGAACAACAATTTTCATGTATATATTTGGGATGTCAGATGACTTTACCATCTGGTCACTGCTGTACATATTACTTAGATTGGAAATCAAACAGAGGTACTGTTGGTGTGAACGTGCTTTGTAGTCACAATGAGAAAAACCTATACACTGGATAGGTGAAGTTAAGAAAAAGTGTCATTGGACACTATTCAGTTCTTCATATTATATCACCGCACAATAGCAGGTATAATAAATTGTTTGTTTGTTTGTTTTGTTATTAAGCACAAAGCTACACAATGGGCTATCTGTGCTCTGCCCACTACGGATATCAAAACCCGGATTCTAGGTTTGTAAGTCCGCAGACATACCGCTGTGCCACTGGGGGGCGGTATAATAAATAAACTTAGTATTCCGAAAATGTTTAATCTCGAAGTCTGAGTGAGGGCCAATGACACTTTTTTTTCAGTGTATAGGTTTTCCTCATAGTGACTACAAAGCACGTTCACACCAACAGTATGTTCGATACTTTTCACTATGGTATAGGTCCAGCTTATCTCCCTCTGGTTAACTTGTGTTCAAGGTAACTGATGAGGAGTGGAATTCTACGAAACTAGTATAACCCAATAACACACGTGTAGATTGAATTGATCTTCCTTGAACTTAGACTTCGAGATTAAACGATCTTCGGATTTACTAAAGTTATTTATTATTAGACTTGAAATAATGAAAAGTAGTAACCAATCTTCGTAGAAAAAAAAGAAAGTTTGCTTTATAAAATTATTGTAAGTATGAAGAAACTCTAGCTTATTGTAGATTGTTAAAGCACATAAAATTATTGTAAATATGAAGAAACTGTACTTTAACACTCTACACTAAGCTAGAGTTTCTTCATATTTACAATAATTTTATGTGCTTTAACACTCTACACTAAGCCCCATAAAATTATTTTAATTAAAACATTAATATTTACTATCATTCCAGCACGCTAATACCGAGTAACTTGACCTGTATTAAACCGGAATACTGAAACATCAAGTTTTCCAAATAGCGTTAGTATCTTATTACCCCTAAGTTGAGTAGATATTTCTATATTTTTTACATTTTTGCTTAATGAATTTATTGCTTTTTTTTCTGGGGGACTTATTTTAATAGATATATATTTATAAAAAGTCTTCATAAGACAATGTTTATAATGTTTTCACAATTGGGTATGCTGATATAAATCTTAATTTATTTTTTTGGGGGTAGGATATTTCAGCCTAATATGTTTATATGTATAAAGTCTCTGTAAGACATTGCTGTAATTTCTATAAAGCCTATAATTTATAATACGTTTTCATAATTGGCTATACTGTTCGCTTTTGTGTCTGATTTGGACGAAACTTCGCACGAGTTTTCAACATCATAAGGGGGAGTTCCTAACAAAGATTCATTACAATTGGGTCTCTTATTAAAACTTTTATTTAGTGCATGAAAACTGTTATAAAATAAACCCTCGCTAAAATTGAAAAAATTATAAGACCATATTTTATAAAAGGTTTTTGTTAATGAAGAAGAAATGGTAATTCTTTTCATTTCGATAATGTTCATTAATTTTGTACAATTATTATTATCAACGAAATTAATTAATTAAAAAAAAGTTCGAAAATTGTGGTAAAGTAAGTTTATTGCAAGATTTCAAAGTGAGTCTTCCTAGTGAGAAGTGACTTTTTTTTTCTGCTGGAATTGAATTGAATTGTTCTGTGACCAAAGGAACCTCAAGTCCTTCGTACGGAGTTCGTTGTATACAAATTTGCAGGAATTTGTTTTACTTTAGTATGAGTATTAAGGGATCAAAACATACATTGAAAATCATGATGCCAAATATTGCCAGACAGAAAGGTGACTTATCAAGGAGAAAGTGTGAAACTTTGAGAAATAAAGTGAAACGTCAGGATGCAAGTTACAGAAAAAAAGAGCAAGAAACTTGCTCACCAAGTTATGAGGCAAGACCCAGTGAGAAGAAGCCAGAACAAACCCAAAATACAGAAATGCATCAAACTGCTCGCCAAGATGCAGTTAGAAGGAGTCAAGAGCAGTTTAGTGAGAGAGAAGCACACCGTTCAGCTAGACAAGATCCTGATCGAACAGCAAGTAATCTATATATACAAGTACTGAACCAGTCCGTCACCAGCTTGTAATAGGCATGTGTTCTGCTGTGAAGAGCTTATAAAGGTAACAATCAGCCACCGACAGCTAGTTGAGTCTAAAACAGTATCAGGAAATACCTAAATCTAATTAAGAGTAATGTTCTGAAGAAATGAAGTGTTACTGATTGTGGAATATCAGCCTGTGAACCTAAAATGAATCACTTCTAGGTCCACGCAAACTTTGAAAAGATTTGTGAAACAAAGTCCACATATCTGACATTAAACACATCTCTTACAGTTTTAATGAGAGTTCAAAAAAACTGCAGGTATTCAGATCCACGTGTGTAAATTGATCATCACGCTGCTAGATAAAATGAAAGTCTGTAACTCATAAACCACTCAGTACAACCATGGTACTTTGAGTTCTAAGATATGGGAAAATCCTCATGATTAACGATGTACACCGCTAATCCCTACCTAAAGTGGACGTACTTATGTGAACCTTTCAATCTTACTAAGTCATAGCAATCGTAAATCATGGTGGAGGTAGATGTGATATTGTTTTAGCTGGTTTGGTACACTTCTATATGGGAATTTATATAGACTAGCAGTTTTTCGTTTTCGTGTAACCAATGTTATAGTTTCACGTTTACGGCAGTTCACCCTTTAGTTTTCTTTATTAAATAAAGACGTTTTATTGTTGTTATATTTAGACTATTTTACACTTTTACTTACTTTCATTTTCACACTAGTTTTGCATATGAGTACAGGTCAGAAATGATGAAAAACTGCTCATCCTACATGCATTAGAAAGAATTCTGGATCATTTACTTTTTCATTCTCTTCTGAACGAACGGTAGAGAGCCATCGATATATTGGCTGGTTGTGGTCTAGAGATTAACATACCCGAACACTCAATCCGATAGTTCATGATCCGTGTCCCGTTGCCTCATAAATGCGTTCTAAATTTAGGGGATGTAGGTGCGCTATAAGAGTGACAGTCAAATACTTCTACTCGGTTAGACATTAATAGCACAAGAATTGGCGGTGGGTGCTATTGACTAGTTATCTTTACTCAGGTCTATCAGTTCAAAACTGGAAAGAGTTAGCTGTGCTCGAAAACTGTGAAGCAAAATAAACCATAGCTACCACACACACTTTTTAAAATATATAATGCGGAAGTTTCCACAATATTTCTAAAGAAGTCGTGCTCTGCTTTGTCAGGAAAGGTATAGATGAAGAGAAAGTGATAAAACTGTCAGAACCGTCGGAAGACTATTGTACGCCTTATGATCCAGTTAGGACTATTATTACCTTTTTGCCGGGGCCCGGCATGGCCAAGTGGTTAGGTCGCTCGACTCGCAATCTGAGGGT